CTGCAGCCCACGCCTTCGCCGGCAACTCATGGCAGCCCAGCTCCAGGTTGAGCTGTTGTTCAGCATCTTAGCTGTGGAGGGCAGTGTAACTAGCCCTCATATGTGGGATCCGAACCGGGGCCCTCTGGCATCCCAAGCCAGTTCTTAACCATCGCGCCACTCGGCTGGCCCGAGGTTTTCAATTTTGATGAAGTTTATTTTTTTCCTTTTGTTGCTCATGCTTTTGATGTCACCTCTAAAAATGTGTTGCCAAATCAGAGGTCATGAAGATTTACCCCTTTGTTTTCTTCTAAAAGTTTTATGGTTTTAGTTCTTATATTTAGGTTTTTTTTATCCATTTTGAGGTAATTTTTGTATATGGTGTGAGGTAGGGGTCCAACTTCATACTTTTTGCATGTGGATATCCAGTTGTCCCAGCAACATTTGCTAAAAAGACAATTATTTCCCCTATTGAATGGTCTTGGCATCCTGTTGAAAATTAATTGACCAGAAATATGAGGAGTTTGTGTGGATTCTCAGTTCTACAACATTGATCTATATGTATGTTACTATGCCAGTATCACACTCTTTTTATTACCATAGGTTTGTAATTTTTGAAATTGGGGAGTGTGACTCCTCTAATTTTGTTCTTTTTCGAGATTATTTTGGCTGTTTAGGGCCCCATGCAATTCCAAATGAATTTTAGGATTAGTAATCTTTATTATAGGTCCTCACTTTTCATCACTTTGAATATTTTCTTCCAATCCCTTCTGGCCTGCAAAGTTTCTGTTGAGAAATCAGTAGGTTGTCTTATGGGAGCTCCCTTGTAGGTGACTCACTGCTTTTCTCTTGCTGCTTTTAAGGTTCTCTCTTTGTCTTTAACCTTTGGTATTTTAATTATAATGTGTCTTTGTGTGGGTTTCTTTGAGTTCATCTTGTTTGGGACTCTCTGCTTCCTGGGTTTGTATATATATTTCCTTTGCCAGATTAGGGAGGTTTTCCGTCATTATCTCTTCAAATAGACTTTCAATTCCTCCCTCTCTCTCTTCTCCTTCTAGTACCCCTATAGTGTGAATGTTGGTATGCTTGATGTTGTCCCAGAGACCCCTTAAACTCTCCTCATTTTTTTTTATTCTTTTTTGTTTTTATTCTTCTGATTGGGTGTTTTCTGCTTCCTTATCTTCTAAGTCGCTTATTCGAGCCTCTGCTTCCTCTAATGTATTCTTTGTTTCCATCACTGTATTCTTTATTTCTGACTCCTTTTTTATGTTGTATATCTCTATTTTTACATTTCCCATCTCTTTGTTGAAGTTCTCCCTGAGATCATTGAGCATCCTCATAACCAGTGTTTGGAACTCTGACTCCGGTAGATTGCTTGTCTCCATTTTTTTAAAAAAGATTTTTATTGAGGAATTGGGGGGAAGGGAACAGTGCTGGGGAAATGGGGGAAGGGGAACAGACAAGTTGCTGTCCTTTTATTGTTCTTCAGTCTAGATGTGGAGGATGTTGCTTCACGGGCCCAAGTTGGCACCATCATTGCGCTCTTCCCGGGCGAGGCAGATCAGTCGCTGGCTTCTGGATGGCCGCTCACTGCGGCTGCTGGCTGCTGGCTACACACGGTAGGCCATGGCAACCCACTGCCACAGGGGCTGCAGCCTACGCCATTGCCCGCGACTCACGGCAGCCCAGCTCCAGGTTGAGCTGTTGTTCAGCATCTCAGCTGTGGAGGGCAGTGTCACTGGCCCTCATATGTGGAATCCGAACTGGGGCCCTCTGGCATCCCAAGCCAGTTCTTAACCATCGCGCCACTCGGCCGGCCCTGCTTGTCTCCATTTTGTTCAGTTCTTTTTCTGGAGCTTTGTTCTGTTCTTTCATTTGGGACATGTTTCTTTGTCTCCCCATTTTGGCTGCCTCCCTGTGTTTGTTTCTATGTATTAGGTAGGGCTGCTATGCCTCCTTATCTTAGTAGAGTGGCCTTATGTAGTAGGTGTTCTGTGGACCCAGTGGTGCAGTCTCCCTGGTCACCAGAGTCAGGTGCTCCAGGTGTGTCCCTTGTAAGGGTTGTGTGTACCCTCCTGTTGTTGAGCCTTTGTTGGTGTTTGCACATCAATGGAAGTCATTGACCCTCAGGCTGATTGGTCGTGAGGACTACAGTGGAGGAACTGTTATGCAAGGTCTGACCATATAGAGCAGGGTTCGCTTTAGTGGGGCTCTGGTGCCTACCCAATCTTCCCTTTGGGTGTTTTGTCTTTGAGGGCAGCTGGGTGGTGCTCCGGCTTGGTCCAAAGCTGGCCATCAGGTGTGCCAACCCTGGGGCCTCCTGAGAGGGACCAACTACAGGCCAAGTTTAGCTACAGCCTGTGTTCTGCCCAGGACCACCTGGTATGATCTACAAAGCAATCCGCAGATGGCTGCCACATGCACTGGGCTTAGAGGTTCCTCAAGAGGTCAATCTGTGAATCAATTCTGGCTGTTGCTAATGCTGGACTTAGGGCTGCTCAGCCAGAGGTACGGAACATGCCAGAGCCAGATGCTGCTTGTTTGGGTGTGTGAACCTTTGAGAGATTTTACAAAAGTCTGTAGTATGATCTAAGTCAGGTTGTTTGTACGGAAATCCACTGGAAGGGGCTTGGGTGTGCTTGAAAGTTGGGTGGGTCAGGGTCTCTGGGAATCACTAGGGTGGGACAGATGAAAGGTGGTATCTAGTGTGATAGATACTCAAATGTGGCATCTGCCTGCACACAGGGAGAGGGGAGGGCTCAACAAAGAAATAGTGGCTTCTGCCAGCTCCTCTGTTTGGGAAAAAGCTGGCCCTCCAGCCTTTGCACTGAAGCCAGACAAGTCAGTTTCTCCCTGTATGTCCCTGGCACGTTTCAAGCTGCTGCCCCAGTACTGGAGCTCAGAGTGAGTGATTTTGTCAGTGACTAAGTCCGTATGTGGTCATATTAAGAGGAGCTCCTGGGACTATAGCTACCCTCTGTCTCACTCAGCCACAAACTCCGCTGGTTTTCACAGCCAGAAGTTAGAGACTTCTCTCCCCGGCACTGAAACCCTGGGCTGGGGAGCCTGGTATGAGGCTGGGACCCCTTGCTCCTCCAGGAGTTACCTCCACAGCTGAGATATTTCTCCTGATTTTTAATGGTCACACACGTGGGAGTGGGACCAGCCTGTTCCATGTTTCTTCCCCTCCTACCAGTCTTGAAGTAGCTTCTTCTGTAGGTCCATAGTTGTAGGGCTTTGGTTCAGCTAGACTTCAGGTGATTCTCAGTGATGATTGTCCTGTAGTTTAGTTGTAGTTGATGTGGCCCTGAGAGGAGGTGAGGACAGTGTTCACCTACTCTCCCAACTTGACCAGAAATCCATTCCAATTTGTATTTTTTAATCTCTTCACCTTCTTCACCCAGGTCCCAATTCCCCTCCCTTCTGGCAACCATTAGTTTCTTCTCTGTATCTATGAGTCTGTTTCTCTTTTGTTTGTACTCCAGCACTCTTAGGTTGCTATTTGCATACTATAGCTGTATCAAATTCTTTTGCTTTCAATTAATTTCTATTTTTACTGTTGTTTTCTGAGTAGTCATAATTATTACGTGATTACTGTGTATTAACCTCAGCATGTTTCATCTCTGCCTTTCCCATTACTTATGTTTTCCCCTCTAATACCTCCAATTGTAGTAACAGGTATACCACAGTCTTCATGTTTTAAAAAACAAACTATTGGAAAACTTGTGCATGCCATGCCATGTAATTGATGTGGACGAAGTTCATGATTTTAAAGGAATATGGTTGAGCCCATAGACCAAACATCTACAGTAGTTACCCGCTGATATAAAATATTTTATTGGTGTTATAACCACTTTCAGTTTTATAAGACACTCCCATAGTCTACTGGGAGCATAACCTCCATCCATCCGTGGGCAGTAGTGTCTGTGGTTATGCTGCCAGTTTGATAGTGGTGGAGACCAAAGCTTGAAGCTCTCAAGGGTCATTTTTAGGCTCCTGTACTCACTGAACCATGTGGTCATCTCCAGCAAACCTGGGCTGAAGCCTCAGCTCCACTAATCACCTGGTTTCACGTAGGACCACGCCTGCCTCACAACCCATCCTCTGAAGAAACATGAGCAGAATTCGTCTCATTTAAACCTTTTCCCTACATCTCTTTGTCATCCTTCTCTAAGTGATTCTTCAGAGGCCTTAGAAGGGCCTCAAGGACCAAGACAAGGGTACTCTCCACATGATGTTACTTCCCTGAGCCATGAAGTGGCTGCTATATTTTGTTACTAAACGTGTTCCCCTTGCTGTCCCCCTGTCCCTTTTAGAGAGATGGGACCATGTTACCACCACAACCAAGAGGCCAGGAACGACCAGAGCTCCGGCAAAGCCTGCAGGTAACATGCTGCTCTGAGAGGACAATGAGGAAAGACCAATGAAGCTCCCTCTGGTGTAGTAGAGTGTCCAGTTGAGCTACCCACAGTTTTAAGTCCTGTATGTGAAAAGCCAACCAAGACATTACCCAGAACACTGGGTTTAACTTAATACAGTATGTAGCTGGCCAATGACTATGACTTCTGTGTGTGTGTGTGTGTGTGTGTGTGTGTGTGTTTTTCCTTTGTTTGTTTTTTTATGAAGAGTCCTGCTTGGGAAAATTTCCAGAGAAACATGCATTTGGATTTTCTCCCCTTTCAACCATTTCACATTCTAAAATCAGGGACGATGTCATTGTTTACATTTTTTGAACCCCATCAAACGTTTCCTTAGGCAGAAGGAATATTTGGAATGGCATTTATTTTACAGTGTCATCTCTCAGTGAAGGATTTTGGAACTCGGCGCTTCTTGGTGACTCTTTCCTGGAGTTGTTTTAACCTTTGTCCAGATGGGCCATTTTACTATGTGGACATCTTCACTGATGGAAAGAAAAACAGCCTTGGGGTGGGGGATGAACTCACTGCTCCCATCTGGCAACCAGTCCCTAGTATTTAGGAGCATGCTACCACATTCCTTGAAGTGGAGCTACCTTTCTTCTGAAGACATAGTCTTGACCCAAGAGAGAGTAACTGCTGCTTTATGATTTGCTCTTGTGTATTCACATTTGCACCCTCAAAGGGCTTTGTGTGTGTGTGTGTGTGTGTGTGTGTGTGTATGTGTGTAACCATGCAGGCTCCCTGTTGATTGTCCAGGTTATGGACTCTATGCAGCTGGGTTTGAATCTTGGGTTAATATCTGTAATCAGTGAGTCTACTGTGGTCTGACTGCTGGCCTAAGCAAAACATAGATAGGAGTATCAATTAGTTCACAATGGGTAATATACTGCAGAGGCAGAAATCAGTAACTTGCTGCATCCTATTAGTATTTTCATTATCAATGTCTGTAGAAGGAGTCGGACCCAATTTAAATTTTTTCTTTTTTTTGCCTTAACCCACTGATTGCACTGATGAACTGGGCTCATGGGTGTTGTTGCTTTGCTTTTTTGGAATCTTGTATCCAGTTGTTAATCAGTTGGCTGTTTCCTTTATGCTTTGGGGCCCACTAAAGGTACTGATTTTGACTTGGCTGATGCTTTTGGTGATCACGATGATGGCCCCAGGAAACCGAGTGCCGGAGGAGGAGGAGGAGGAGGAGGAGGAGGAGGAGGAGGAGGTAAGGTGTAGCTGGTTGAAAGCACTGGCCAGCTCTTTGGCTCCCTGGTCAGGTTGTAGCTCATTAGCTACAACAGCCCACAGAGCCACTCCTGGCTTGGCAGAGCTGGGGACATTCAAGGCACAGGAGAACCTAAATCAGTGGTTCTCAAACTTTTTCATCTCAGGATTCCCCAAATGATTGAGGACCTCAAGGGGTTTTGGTTATGTGGGTCACGTCTATCAATATTTGTCATCTTCCCCATGGAGCTTCCTCTGGGGTAGTGTCCAAGTGCCCTAACTGTAGTTTAACCAATTGACTTTCTCTTTTATGAAGCAAAAGATTTTGACTTGGCTGATGCCTTGGATGATCAAAATGATCGAGATGGTGGCCGTAGGAAACCGAATACAGAAGGAGGAGGTAAGTTGTAGCTGTTTTGAAAGCACTGGCCAGCTCTGTGGCTCCCTACTCAGGTTGCAGCTCATTAAGTACAACAGCCCACAGAGCCACTCCTGGCCTGGCAGAGCTGGGAACACTCAAGGCACAGGAGGACCTAAAATAGTCACTCTCAAACTTCTTTGTCTCATGGTTGCCAAAATTCTTGAGGATCTCAAGGGTTTTGGCTGTGTAGGTCACATCTATCAAAATTTTCATCTTTGAACTTAAACCTGAAAAAAGAACTGTTAATGAAAAATGAACAATAAACCATACATGTTAGCATAAATACCATATTTTTATGAGAAATAGCTGCTTGGTAAGACAAAAACAGAATTTAGTGAGAAGCTATTTTTGTACATTTTTGCAAATTTCTATGATATCTATGTTAGTGGAAGAGCTAGACTCTGACATCTGCTTCTGTATTCAGGTGTTGTGACGTGTTGTAATGGTTGAAGTCTATGAAGGAAATATGGCCTCATACAGATCGCAGCAGAGAAAGGGAGGAACACTTTAATAGACTTCAGATCATTGTGGACATTCTTTGATAAGACACTAAAAACTCAATTGGCGGTTGTTTTCTTGCAGGTTAAGTGCAGTGTGGTATGTGAAACTGTCAATGAAATTTCCATACTTGATTCCATTAAATCCCACAGGACTCTACTACTTTTTTTTGGAAAAGTAATTATTTTTATTATAAGTAACATATACAGCAAAACAGAGCTGGAAGGTGGAGGAGGGGGAAGATAACGGAAAGGCTTTAACAAGTTGCCGAAACATGGCTTCCTGCTTTGGAAGCAAGTGATTTGTTTCCTAGCTGAGCTGCCTTTCCTGGTTCAAACAAGCCTGCTCCTTGCAGTGCTGGACCAAGGGAGCCCCATTTTCCAATCTGTTCTCTTCCTGGGAGTTTGGGGAACATTCTATAGTTGTCAGGCTTTCAAGATATAGACAGTATGGAGAAGGGAAGGATAGTACAAACTTTTGTTTCAGTGTCATCCCGAGCCCCATCTCTCAGTATTTATTGAGGCCAAGAGACAAACCCCGTGGAATTGGGGCAACTTAGGCAGCAGTACGCTAAGAATGAGGCTGCATCAATGAGGAAGTGAGTAGCATCAAACTTGGTGTAGAAACTGGCTAGGAAGTAGATGCTTCAGAAGCACCTTTAATGGAACTTTTACCCATTCATGGTTTTGTATATTGTACATTCGTCATTTGGAAAATGTTGGTGTCCTGAGGTCTTTTTTTTTAAAGATTTTTTATTGGGGAATTGGGGGGATGGGAACAGCGGTGGGGAATTGGCGGAAGGGGAACAGACAAGTTGCTGTTGTTTTGTTCTTCAGTCTAGTTGTGGAGGATGTTGCTTCATTGGCCCAATTTGGCACCATCATTGCTCTCTTCCCGGGCAAGGCAGATCAGTCACCGGCTTCTGGATGGCTGCTCACTGCGGCTGCTGGCCGCTCACGCTGGCTGCTGGCTACATATGGTAGCCCATGGCAACCCACTGCCACAGGGGCTGCAGCCTACGCCGTCGCCCGTGACTCACGGCAGCCCAGCTCCAGGTTGAGCTGTTGTTCAGCATCTTAGCTGTAGAGGGCAGTGTCACTGGCCCTCATATGTGGGATCCGAACTGGGGCCCTCTGGTGTCCCAAGCCAGTTCTTAACCATCGCGCCACTCGGCCGGCCCCTGAGGTCTTTTGAACTTCCAAATAATGCCACATTTCATTATGATATTCACATTTGTTAATATCACCACCCGTCTCATTAAGTATTTGGAAGCTGTTAAGCTCACAGCGGTAGTTATAGATTTTTTTTAAATTCTAATTTTTCTTTGAAATCTTAGCAGTGACAACAAATACTGCTAGTGGTTTTAAGTGAGAGCATAATTTCATTCCTTTTTCAGAGAGAACATCAGGGAAATATTTAAGCTGCCACAACCATCGTTTGCTCATCATTCATATTTTTTCCAGAAAAAGTGGTCTGTTATGACAAAGAACAGCTCTTACAACTCACAACTGAAACAGTCACACAAATGCTTTTTTGAATCAACTATAGTACTTGGGAGTGCAACAGAAATGCTTTAAGTGTGCTTTCATTTCATGACACAGGATATTAAAAGGTGTACTCAATAGTTGAACTACAATAAAATTAATTACTCTTTTTCCTTGTGTTAGTTTTTTATAGGTGCATAACAAAGGATCCAAAACTTAGTGAGTTAAAAATAAAAATAAAAACAAAACAAAACAAAAATGACTAAAGAAAAAAAAAGGAAAAAAAAGCAAAATCAAAACAAAACTTAGTGAGTTAAGACAACACCCATTCATTATCTCACAGTTTCTTTTGGTGGGGAGCTCTGTTAAGCTGAGCTTTCTATTCAGGGCAACATACAGCTGCAATCAAGGTGTTTACCAGGCCTGGGGTCTCATCTGGGTTTGGGTTCTCTACCAAGGTCACATAGTTGTTGGCAGAGTACATGTCCTTGTAGTTGTGAAATTAATGGCTGTTTGCTTCTCCAAGACCAGCAGGAGAGAGATGGGAGGGGGAAGAGGAGAACTAAAGGTTGCTTCTAGGGTCTGAATTCAGGGAAGGTCTCAACCCTGTTTTAAAGGCCTCATCTGACTAAGTCAGTCCCATCCAGGACAATCTCCGTTTTGATTAATGCAAAGTGAAACTGGTTTGGTACCTTCATTACATGTGCAAAATCCCTTCACCTTTGTCATGTAATATAACCTAGTCATGGGAGTGATAGCCATCCTATTCGTGGTCCTGCTCACGCTCAAGGTAATGGACATTATACAGAGTGTGTACACCAGCGGGAGGGAATCTTGGGGGCTGTTTTAGAATTTCGCTTGCCCTTCATCAGGGACACTTTTAAATGGCACTCATTTTCTGGGGGTGTTGGGCAACGTTAACATAAATTTCTTGTCACTGAAAAATGTTCTTTTGGCGTTGAAATGCGTTTTTTTTTTCCTCCAGGTTTTTCAGACAAGGATCTCGAAGATGTATTAGGAGGTGGTGACTACAAACCTGACAAGGGTAGAGGTAGGAGCATTGACCTGTCCAAACACCTTATTGTCATTATAAATGTGATTACATGGCCAATAGGCTGACTGATCTGTTCTTAGCCTCTGGGGAATAAGAGGAGGTTCCCAGCCATCCCTGCTTGCAACTTGGGGTTTACTTGTAATGATGTGGGCCATGCAGCTCAAGGAGGGGAGTTTATAATCCAAGTTGGAAAACGCACACATTTCCTCTGATGTTCCTTAAGCCAAGGTGCTGCATGGCTTAATGTCTCCACACTAGGAGAAGCCGTTTGACAAGGCAGCACCTATTACAGTGGCTGAGGGTCACGGGACACACTGGGAAAAGCTCCCCACCTGGGGAGACTGTCACCATTGGGATGGGAAAAGCAAGACTCATTGTGACAAGCATTTTTTAAAGAGACCCATAGCAAGTCAGACATCTTTTAAAATATCTTTTTATTTTTACATACTGTAAGACCCACAAGCAGTTGTAAAAATTGTTCGGGAGTATTCCTGTGTACCTGTCACCTAGTTTCCCGGATAATGATATCTTACGTAACCATAGCACATTGTGAAAATCAGGAAGCTGATATTGGTACAGTACTGTTATTAATTCAAGTACAGACCTTATTTAAAGTTCGTTAGATTTTGCCTGCACTCGAGTGTGTGTGTGTGTGTGTGTATGTGTGTGTGTGTGTGTGTGTGTGTGTGTGTGTGCGTGCATGTAGGTCTGTCAAATTTTATCACATGTAGATTTGAGTAACCATGAGCACAATCAGGCAGGAGAATGCAGAACTGTTCTATCACAAGGGAACTCTCTCATGCTGGCCCTTCAGAGTCACATCCTCCCCCAAGGCCAGATATTTTTAGTTCCCCAAACACCAAAGATGCAAACCTTTTATCATAATATACGAGGTCAGACAAATAAGTTCACAAACTCATCCTAAAAAATGCTACACACCTCATTGCTGAATATCACTATGGTCACCTTCGAAGGACTCCCCTTGGGAAGCTATGCACTGATGCCAGTGCCTAGTCCACCCTTCAAAGCAATTTTGGAACTCTTTTTCTGGAATGGCCATCAGAGCTGTTGTCGTATTACACTTGATGTCATGAACGTCATCAAAATGTCTTCCTTTCAATATTTCCTTTATCTCCGGGTAAAGAAAGAAGTCATTGGAGGCCAGATCAGGTGAGTAGGGAGGGTGTTCCAATACAGTTATTTGTTTACTGGCTAAAAACTCCCTTACAGACAGTGCCGGGTGAGCTGGTGCATTGTCGTGATGCAAGAGCCATGGATTGTTGGCGAAAAGTTCAGGTCGTCTAACTTTTTCACACAGCCTTTTCAGCACTCCCAAATAGTAAACCTGGTTCACTGTTTGTTCAGTTGGTACAAATTCATAATGAATAATCCCTCTGCTATCAAAAAAGGTTAGCAACATTGTTGCAACAAGTTTGCAAACTTAATTGGCAGACCTCTATGTGAAGATTTGATCCTAATATGGAGAGAATGTTAGCCAGATTTGATATCACAAAGCAAGTTATGGTTGTAATTTGATTTTTACTTGAGGGTGTAACCTGTTATGATGGTGCATTGTTGTGATTGTAACTTGTGGTTATGACGTAAGTGGTTGTAACTATCGTGATGGTAACCTGTTCTGATGGTAAGTTCTGGTTGTAGCATTTTGTGGTTTAACCTGTTTTGATGGTAAGTTGTTGTGGTTATCAGTGTTAGCAAGTGATGAGCATATCTGGTTGTAACCCTGCCACACCCCCTGCAATCCTGGCTGTGGTACTAGCATTTGCTCCTTTTTTGCAGAAACGGTGCCTTTCATATGGGAACAGTGTTCTCGTCTAATGAAAGGATACTGTAGTCAAATCTGTCCTTCAAAACACCTCTCCAAACAGTGTTATCTTGAGTAAAAAGCTCTAAAGCCCTCTAAATGAAACTTGCAGGTGTCAGGAGAACATGGAACATTTAAAGGGCAAACCCAGCAAATTAGCCAATTACTCCTGGGTGACAAATGGCATTTCCAGATGGGGAGATGAGGACAGTAGCAGTTTATGTGCATGCACATGAATGAAAGTCTGAATGACATGTCAGGGGGGTTCCTTATTAAAAGTCATGCTTTAGCAAGGAGGAAGTGTTAGGAAATTCTTTAATTAGGCTCATATTTGAACTTCTCTTGTAAAGAATAATCAATTTTTAGCTTAAGTTATACCCTCTGTCTTTATAGATGTCAGTAAAAGAAGATAAAAGGGGTCCCAGAAAAAAATACAAATGTGAAACTGAAAAATGGTTGTGATAAGTACATGATGCAATTCTCAGACACTGTCCTGTGTGCCGACATGCTAATGCCATGTGTGAAGATAAAACATCACATTTAGATAAATGATGATCTTCGGCATAAAAACAGCCACAATTCATGCATTTTCCAATCTTTGGTCCTAAGCACATAGACTCAACTATAGTTTTGGAGTGTATTTCTGAAACAATATGTTATCTGTTATATATTTATTTTTCTCAAGAAAACATTTTTGCTGGCCTTGTAGGAGCCTCATATTTTGTCAGTAAATGACAGTGACAGTCTCTCATCAACAGGTTGCATCTCTTGTCTCACCTCCCACCTCCCTATTAAATCCCTGACAAGTTGACTGGTTGATGGTGTGCTCAGGATAAAAGAGCTGCTGACTCTCCCTATTCACTTGCCACTGAGATTGCCACGTGAACTGACAGTGCTGCAAGTCACGTGGGTCCCCCATAGCAGCTGTAGTAGAGTTGCTGGTTTTCATGGCCTGTCCACCCCTCCCCAGTTGAATCAGCTTCTGGGGGAAGGAGAAATGAGAACAACCCTGAGTAAAAAAGCCACAGATACCAGCTGTTCTCACTGGAACTAATCTGTTTCCTGAAATGGCTGTCTGCTTGGCCAGGGTTACAGTTGCGCTTTTTTTTTTACCTTTATTGGGGAACAATGTCTTTTTCCCAGGACCCATCAGCTCCAAGTCAAGTCGTCCTTCAATCTTAGTTGTGGAGGGTGCAGCTCAGCTCCAAGTCCAGTTGCCGTTTTCAATCTAGTTGC